GGGTCCTGTTTCATTTTTTTGCAGATGGATATCCAGTTTTGCCAGCACCATTTGTTAAAAAGACTGTCTTTTCCCCGTTTGATGGACTTTGGGCCCTTGTCAAAGATCAGGTGACTGTAGATAGATGGATTTACATCTGGGTTCTCAATTCTGTTCCATTGGTCAATGTATTTGTCGTTTTACCAGTACCAGGCTGTTTTGACTACTGTAGCTGTATAGTAGGTTCTGGGGTGTAGTATTTTATCTGGCTATTCTAGCTATTCACAACATCAGGGAGGGTATCCATATTAGTTCACTTTGTCATTTTCCAGAACCACTATTGCCCTAACTGGTTGGTTATATTTAGGAAGACTGTTTATTTGGTATATATATTAATATCGTAACCATTGACTTTAATGAATTCTTTGTTTACAAGTGTCTTTTTTACTAATTTTCCAGGTATGGAATCATATCATCCAAAAACAGTGACACTTTTGTCTGCATAAATGAGCCTTGAGATTTTTTATATCTCGTTTCCTTACTTTGTTAATTGCTTCAGTGAATTCCTCTATTGGGCATTCCTGCATTATTCCTCACTTTTTGAGTTGGGTACTTTTAAGAAGAGTTTTTCAAATGTCCCAAAGCAATTAATTTATCATACGTGACTTAAATGTTTCAGTTTGCATATTCACTTAATGAGATGTTATAGTGTAGTTATTGTGTCATGATGTCACCAAAATGCCATTCTTACAGTAAATCACAAGAAGTAATACAAAAAATAAAATACAAAAGTGACATTTCTAGTTGAGCATTTTTTCAATACAAACTTTTATTCTTCTAGATTGACTCTTCTGTTTGTTACTATTTACTTCAGTGTTTGGTGATTATCAGTTAATATCAGGGTGATACAAAAACCACACATAGGGCCCCCTCCCACCCCCTACCCCTCCCCACCCATATGGAAAGATAGAAGTTACAAAAGAATATTTACACGTGAGGGAAATAAAATTCCAAATCAGTCAGGAAGAATTATCTTCTACTATCATAATGTATGGAGCCCTGGTGGGGTTCAGCTGCTGACCAAAAGATCAGCAGTTCGAATCCACCAGCTGCTTCTTGGAAACCCTATGGGGCAGTTCTACTCTGTCCTATAGGGTCGCTATGAGTCGGAATCGATGCGACGGCAATGGTTTTTTTTTGTTTGGGATTATAATTTATATGGAGCCCAGGTGGCACAATGGTTAAGTGCTCTGCTGCCAACCAAAAGGTCGGAGATTCAGACTCAGTCAGTGGCTCTGCAGGAGAAAGACCTGATGACCCACTTCCTTAAAGATTATAGCCTAGCAAACCCAATAGGGCAGTTCTACTCTATCACATGGGGTCACTATGAGTCGGAATCTACTCGATAACTCCTAACAACAACAAAACACCATTGTTAGTAGAAAGCCTTCAGTTTTATTATATCAAATTGATTCTTGAAACCCCTTCAGACTCTTTTTAAGCAAAAGATTCCCATGGTTAACCATTATGTGATGCGCAATGGAAGATGTCATTTTTAACTATGTTCTCAACTCTTAAGAGAACTTCCCTTGCTTTTCACAGAATCTGTTTTAATTCAGCACCTTTTTTTTTAACTACATGATTCTGTAGTATGGTTCTACTCTTTTGTGCTGTGTATAGTTCAGTGTGGTGTGCAGGCAGCTGATATTGAATATGTTGTGGTTATTTTCTTTATGATATTAAGTACAGAATACCTCTCTCCAAGCAGGTATGTGGATAGGTTTAATCAGTTCTTTAACATACTTGTAAAATATGCCGGTGGCGCAAAGCTGTGTCTTTTGTGACTACATTTGGTGTTTTAGTAATTTAATGTTTAATTTTATTTCTAACTTTCTATACAATTTAATGTCCTGCTGCCTTTACTGGTAGTGATGCTTACTGTTACACATGTTTTATTCTGAATGTATTTAAATAACTGGGTTGTCTTCTAGCTCACATCAGCTCAGATACATGGACAGAAATTTTAGTGCTACAGCTTTGTATTATAATAACCTCACAAAATTGGAAACCCTTATGAGAAAGTTACTTTCAAAGTGTAAATCCTGCTATACAGTTTCTTAACTGGCATTGGATTGTTTTTGGTAATCTTTTACCATGTGTTCAGCCTTATAGACATTCTACCTTTTGTCTCACTTATATACCTACTTTGGTGTCGGAATCTCTCCTTTCACCCCATGCTACACCTCTCCCTCATACTAATGCTACTAAAAAGCGTAATGGTTCCCCTGTCTATTGTAAGATGTAGGAATTGGACAACTGTATAGCATTTTGGCTAAGAGCACAGATTTTGGAGTCAATTAGACCTGAGTCTGAATCTTGATTCTGTTGTTTAATAACCTATATTTGTCCTTAAAGGAATTCTTTTTGGTCTTTTAAAGTTAGTTTCCTCCTCTATAAAATGAACATACCTACCTCACAGGGTTGTTGTGAGGATTAAATAGACTGATGTAGGTAAAGCACTGGATTAGGGCCTAGCACATGAAAAGTACTTTTGGTATCTGTATTTGTTGCTATTCTTTAATTTAAAGGTAGTAAACGAATATATTCATCTTTGGTGACTTGGGCAGTTTCTTGTTGGAAAAGCTTAGAGACTGGCTCTAGGAAAAACTACCTAAATGCATTTCATATTAGGTCAGTGGGGAGTATTGATTCTTTGAAAATAGCTTAATAATCCTCCCAGTTTTTGCTATATAGATTAATGTGCAGATTAAATGTATAATACAGAGTTAGATAAAAGCAGAAGTGTGGAACAGGCTAAAAAAAGTAAAAAGAAAAATTAGGCTCATATATTAAAAAATAACTTCTTTATAAATTTTGTTTTTTTTTTTTTTAAGTTTTCTGTTAGATAAATTTAAAGACATATTTGAGAATTCCTGGTTCATTTTAATATCACTGTAGTAGGCATTGTGTTATAGCAAGAGGAGTACTAGATTGGGAATTTGAGACTTGGGTTTGTTTGAGTCCTGGTTTTACTATTGACTTTGCCACATATGTCCTTGGTCAAGTAACAAAAGCACCATACTTTAAATTCTGATGTGTACCATCGTGCTTATAACCTGACCTACTTCACTTACCTGCTCCTGCTCACTTAATTGCTCGAAAATCACATGAAATAATTTTGTCTGGACTGTTTAGAAAGTATAAAGGGTTATCCAAGGAAAAGTTAAGTGTTATTTTGGTTCTCAGCTTTTTGTTGTTGTTCTGTATATTATCAGAAAACATAGAACATTAGCGTTTTATGAGTTATTAGAAATTGAAATCATATCCCTGGCCAGAGGCATTTTGGTAACTCTCCTTGGGTTGTGAGGTAGCAGTATTATTTCAAAGGCACAAAGGTTTAGGCGTTTCCCAAAGAGTCAGAAAACAGTACCTGGAGAAGCTAATTTTTCCAGAAGTATAGCTGGGGTGCTAGATACCCGTTTCAGTCTCTGCTCATAACTGATCACCTCCATTAAGCCTTTGATGAACTCTACTCAGCTTTAATTTCATCTGCATTTATGCATCTAGTTTGCAGTATATTAATTTATATTTGTGTATTTTTGAAGTCCGTTTGTGTCGTTTACACGAGACCTGGTCCTTGTTTTCTCAGCTAGCTTGGAATCTCCTGTAGGGTAAAGAGCATGGTCCTTTCCCTTTCTTCACAATACCTAAGAGAGTGGGCTCTGCCTCTGATGGTTTCTTATTACTTATGGTTTCATAAAACTTTACTAGAGCATAATTCTTTTGGTGTAATTTTAAAAAGTGTGCATCTGGGGAAATTTTCAGTTGTTTCAGTGTATACCTATTTGAATTAAAGACAGAAGGCATCAAAACAGTATACGGCTTGATTAAAAAAGTGTGGTGTTTAAGCTACCATGCACTTCAAAAAAGCATTACTTTTTTGCTTTTTTTCCAAATAATCCTGTTGATTGTGTTTGGTTGATAGAAATCTAGTAAATCTTCATTAGATAGTTTTAATTTTTAATACTATAATCTTTTGAAAATGAGTGTTTGTTGTTAATAGTCATACTTTTAAAGGATACTTTAAATAGGCATTGCGCTTTAATAAAAGAAAGTCTCTTTTCCACTTCCCCTTTAAATTACTTTATTAGGTTACTAGTGACTCTTAACTATCAAAATTTCTGATGTAAACCTTGATATGGAGGAGACTGTTCTTGCATTACTTTTGACAATTTATTTAGAAATGCCTACACTGAAAAAGAAACTTCTTTACACTTGCACTGATGATGGCTTTCTCTAACACAAAACGAAATTATATCCTTCATCTTTGCACTTCACATCTGCTAAAGATGATGTTTCTTCCAAATTAATGTTTGCATTTTATTTTCCAAATTTTTTCCTCTAAAACTGATAATGATGCCACTAAGAACTGTTTTTACATCTTCTTCAGGTCTGTCGTTGTCTGCTGGATCTTCTCCTTTGCATTCCCCCAAGATTACTCCACATACGTCTCCTGCTCCCAGAAGAAGAAGTCACACTCCAAATCCAGCCAGTTACATGGTGCCTTCTAGTGCCTCTACACCTGTTAATAACCCTGTTTCTCAGACTCCATCTTCCGGTCAGGTGATCCAAAAGGAAACTGTAGGTGGAACGACTTACTTCTATACGGACACAACTCCAGCACCTGTGACTGGAATGGTATGTCTAGATTAAAGTAGACATTATAGCACTCTTATAACAGTTCCTTCTTATTCATGAAGAGGTTTACCCTTTCTTACTTTGATGTGGAAAAAATGACAAATTTAATTTTCTAACTTAGATGGGATTTCTAGTCTCTTCCTATCTCTTCAGAGTCATTTACTTCTACCTTACTAATAACTCTTTCCTTTTGGACAAATCTGGTCTAATCAGAAATGAGATTATCTTCATGCTCTAGTTTAGTACTTTATGGCATATTTTACTTATGTGGTCACCTAGTATTCCTGTGAGCTGGTGTGGATGTTTAGTGACATTTGTTTATAGGTATAGATAGTTTTATCTTTAGTAAGAAGTTGGAGAATGTAGATGGTATCTTATCAGTCATTTTTGAAAGCAAACTGATAAACTCTTGCCTCAGTGATTTAATAGCTACATCTCTGGATAGTGCAGTGAGCATAGTGATAAGGGGTCATTGCTAAGGAGGAGAAGGCTCAGGCCAAAGGGAGACATGGCTGTGGATGAGGAAGGAGCTACCAAAGGGTTGATGATGAAGAGAGACAAGAACTATGAAACAAAAACATGACTACAAAGACCAAGAGAGGAAGAACATGCCCAGAACAAAGAATTCTTCTCAGAGTGAATAAGTGGTGCGGGAAAGGGAAAGGAAGAGAGAAAAGCATTGTCATGTTATGTTAATTGTACCTTTTTAGGTTCATTATTTTGCCCATCTTCAAAAATTATTTTATCAACTATAGAAAAATTAGTAGATGAAGACCTCCTGAATAAGAAAGCCAAATACAGTTAAATAATGGACCCTGGTCTAAACCTTAGACATTTGACATAATCATAGAAGACAGACTTATATGAAAACTATATTTAGATTTTAATAAGCAGATTTTGATCTTCTAAGTTAAATATTTATTTTGATTAATATTTCACTGAAACACAATTTGAGTGGAAAGAGAATAGGTTTCAGAGGTGGGAGCTGTTTTTTTAAGTCTCAGTTCTGCCATCGTTTTTTGGCTCCTGAATCTGAGGAGCTCTGAGACCATTTTCCCGTTTGTAAAATGAGGATAATTATACCTAACCACCTTTGAGGGATAAATGTGGAACATTTATACAAGTATCTATAAATCGTATAAAATGCTTTTTAAAATAAACTAGTTAATAGTTTCTTTGGTCAGAAAACTTTCAAAAGCTATCATGGGACAGATGGCTGAACAGAAGTCTAGCAATTGGGGTGTAGAGACTTCCCTTTGTTCTTTCAAGTAAGAATTCCATCAGTGGTGTACTTTTTTTGTTTCTTTATCATATTTTATAATTATTTACATTTTGATTTCATGATATGTGTAGAAAGAGCAAATTTAGTTTAATTTATGAAGAGGTTGGTCACAAAACTGTCTCAGCTATTTTTATAGGGATTAGAGATGGCATATTTTTATGTTTTTACCCTTCAAGCCACTCTGACAAATATTCTCTTGGTAACCCTGAGGTAGTTAAACCAAGCTGTACCATCCAAAGCAGGAAAAGGAGGTATTATTCTCCCTGTGGGTATAGATTAAAGGAAACCTTACGAGTATTGCAAAACCACTTCTTGGATGAAATCCAGAGCAGGATAATAATCTGAGGGCAACGTAGATCAGTTGAATTCATTTTTAAAAGAGAGGGGGGAAAAAAGTTTGTTTCAGCTTTTAAAGTGAAAGAATAAAAACAACAGAAGACATATTTTTAAATGTACTTTGATTTTGTGTTCATGGACCAGTGAAGGGCAGAATGAGGCAGAGGAAAAAGAGGAGGAGAAGGGCTGGAGTAAGTGTACAAGCAGAACAATGAAAGACAAGCTAGAAGCAGATTTAGTGACTGTTGTTGTTTGCTTAGAAGGTAGATAGACTAAACAGATTGTTGCACCCTTCTGTTCGCTTACACTGCTGAGTTGAGAGTAAGTTGGTCCTCCTTCCTTTTGCATTTTGAAGTGTTTATAACAAGTATATAAATAGCACTTTGTTTAGATTGGCCACAAAAAGCCATCAAGAGGGCAGTTATTTGGCAGCCACAGCAGTGTTACTTTCATTATCTGAATGTACCCAAACACCTTTAATATCTGCTTTCCTCCTCTTCCAGTTGCTTTTAAAAAATTCTACAAACCGTTTGTGTCACATTTCTTCTGAAGAGCTACTTTTGCCTTCTCAGTGAAACTTACATTTTTATTATTATTATTATTTATTTATTTTTATTGTACTTTAGATGAAGGTTTACAGAACAAGTAGTTTGTCATTAAACGCTTAGTACACATACTGTTTTATGACATTGGTGAACAACCCCACGACATGTCAGCACTCTCCCTTCTTGATCTTGGGTTCCCTATTACCAGCTTTCCTGTTCCCTCCTGCCTTCTAGTCCTTGTCGCTGGACTGTTGTGCCCTATTAGTCTCATTTTATTTTATGGGGCTGTCTAATCTTTGGCTGAAGGGTGAACCTCGGGAGTGACTTCATTACTGAGCTAGAAGGGTGTCTGGGGTCCATACTCTCGGGGGTGAAACTTACATTTTTATTATTTTTGAAGAAAATTTTTTTCTCATTAGATTTTAAAAACTGAATATTAAAATATAAGGTTATTTATTTTTAAAATGAACTCATTCAGAAAGTATACTGGTAACAACTATTCTTTGAGGTGTTTAACTCATTCTCATTTAAAGATTAAAAAATTTTCAAAACAATGGTAAAGCTTATCAATTGAGAAGCATTGGTCATTGCATTTCCGCCCCCCCCCTCCCTACCTTTTTAGGTATTTCCAAACTATCATATTTATCCTCCAACTGCACCTCACGTTGCTTATATGCAACCAAAAGCAAATGCACCTTCCTTCTTCATGGCTGATGAACTCCGACAGGTATGCTTTCAGAATTCATAGTAGAAATACTTAATGTCTCCTGTGCTTTAGGGAAGAACTGGAGGAAGAACAGTGGTCTTTTCAAGTCATGTTGTTTAATCAGATTTGCTCTACTACAGCAGATAGAATGTATGACTTCCAATTGGTATATTTGTGTAAGGAAACCTGGTTTTCAAGAAAATACCAAGTAATTATGTGTTAGAATATAAAACATTGAATATTTGTTTAAATGGGTCACCTTTCTACGTTTTATTGCCTTTGAATCGAAAGGACTTCTTGAAGTATATAAATGATTTATATGGTTTCTAGCCTTCAGACAACTTTCTGCTAATAACGTAGGTTAAGAAAAAGTAATTTGGCCCAGAAATGAACCTCATTTTAAGAGAGCCTATTATCGTTTTACAAAGTAAGTTTTATAAAATAACTTAGTGTTTTATTTTTGTTTTTTTGGGGGGGGTTTTGGTTGCGAACAGGTATTCTTCTATAAAAAACAAAATCGTTTAGTGTGCAGAATTTCAGTTTACACTCAGATTCTTAGAAATATTTTCATTTCACAGAAATAAGTTCTACCAGTAAAATGTTTATAGAGTGAATTACTGATCAGCTTATCAGCAAACCTTGAGTTTTTAACCACAAAGATAGTCAGTCATGGGCTTTGGGTTATAACATAGCTGCTTAAACCCAGCCTTAATTATGGGCACATTTAGCTAGGACTAGAATTTAAACATTTTACCATCTTTAGAAATGCTATTTCATGATTTCAGCATTAAAGACTGTGCATACCAGAAATGTTATTAGTTATGTTGTTTAGTTATAATAGGAAATCCAGATTTCAGAATCTATGTTTAGATGTAAATATACTTGTTTCCCTTTTTTTAGGAGCTGATCAACAGACATTTAATAACAATGGCACAAATTGATCAAGCAGATATGCCAGGTAAAAAGTAAAGTGACTCATCCTTTCTTTTAAAGGATATTAAAATTTGTATGTAGTTCTGTATGTTTTTATGCATTAAAATAGTTGATTACCATTTATGAACATATTTCTTTGAAATCTATTTAAGAAGAGTTCCATGGTGCCATTGTTCATCCACTTTATTTCAGTCAGTTTACATTTGATAATATTCCAGTTTAGCAGAAAGTGTAGTTAGTTGCATGGTGATTTATTTCACTGTGAACTAGAATATTATCTTAGAGAACTTAATAAAGCATAGGTACTTAATGAACTTCTAATTTTGAATTACACAGAGGGCTTAGGGAGAGGGTTATTGTTATTATAATGAAACTACTATGTGTGCCAGACAGTGTGCTAATTAAGTGCTTTACATGCCTTACTTTATTCCTCACAATAATCCTGTGACATAGGTTCTTATCATCTCCATATTACATATGAGGAAGACTGAAATCGACAAGGGTAATTTACCTCTAGGACCAATGGCTATTAAATTGCTGGCTGAGTTAGGATTTGAACCCAGGTTTTCCTGACTCTACTACATGTTTCTCAGAGAACATTAAAATCTCTCTGTCTCCTAGCTTACTTTATATGTAGCAAAATTAAATATGGTCTAATTTAGCAAAACTTTATAAATAATATAGTGGGAATAAATTTGCCGTAGAGATAATCTCAACACCTGTTTCTGATCAACGATTAGCGCAGTCCAATGTACATCTTCTTGAAGAATTAAAAGGAATATGTTTGGCTATTATAGCTTCAGACCCATCTTTCCAATTTAGATGGAAACTGGAGAGACTTATATGTCGTAATCTTTGAAGTGTTCATGTTGGAAAACTTACTGATTATTTAATATTCTGTTTGAGACCTCAGCCAGGGCAAAATGGAAAAGGAAAAAGAAAAATTGGATGCAGAAAGATTGGAAAATAGAAAACAAACCTGTCATCTGCAGATGATATGATTGTAGATTAGACAATATTTGAAATAAGAGTTTAGGAGATGGCTTGATATAAGATGAATACACATAAGTTTCATTTCTATAGACCAGTAGCCAACAAAAACAAAAACAAAAACCCATTGCTGTTGAGTCAATTGTGACTCATAGCAACCCTATAGGACAGGTTTCCAAGACTGTGATCTTTGAGACAGCAGACTGCCATATCTTTCTCCCATGGAGTGGCTCGTGGGTTCGAACCACTGTCCTTTCGTTTAGCAGCTGAGTGCCTAACCACTGCACCACCAGGGCTGCTGGGACTAGTTGCAAATAACTTCAAAATATAATTAAAAGAGAAGATGCTTGTCTTAGTTCTGTAGTGCTGCTATAACAGAAACACCACAAATGAATGGCTGTAACAAACAAATTTATTTTCTCACAGTTTAGGAGGCTAGAAATCCAAATTCAGGACTCTGGCTGTAGGGGAAGGCTTTCTGTCTCTGTCTGCCCTGGGGGAGGGAGGGACGTTGTCTCTTCAGATTCTGTTTTTTGGTTCCTTGGAGATCTCCATGTGGCTTGTCATCCGTCTTCCCCCATCTCTGCTTGCTTCCTTGCTTGTTTAACCTCTTTTATATCTCAAAAGAGATCAGATTAAGACATACCCTAAATTGATAACTACCTCAAGTAACATAACAAAGACAGCCCGTTCCCAAATGGGGTTATAACCAAATGCATGGAGGTTAGGATTTACAACACATATTTTGGGGGAAGACAGTTCAATCCATAACATTTTACCATTTGGTCCCCCAAAATTCATGTCTTCACCACATGCAAAACACATTCACCCCATCACATCATCCGAAAAGTCTTACCTCCAAGTCTAAAATCTCATCATCTGAATCATCTAAATCAAATATGGACGAGACTTTAGGTGTAGTCCACGCTGGGGCAAGAGTCCTCTTCATCTGGGAACCTGTGAAATCTAGAATAAAAGTTATCTGCTTCCAGAGTACAATGGTAGAACGGGCACAAAATAGACATTTCCATTATAAACGGGAGAAATCGGAGGGAAAGAAAGGATAACAGGCACCAAACAAGTCCAAAACCCAGCAGAAAAAATTACATTAGCTCTCAAGTCTTAAAAATAATCCTGTGTTCTCTGAGACCATCTGGACAATGGCCCTGCCCTCTGGATTCTGGGTAGAGGCCTCTGAGCCCTGGGCTTCAACCCTGCCTTCCAGGCCCGCTGGGATGGCAGCTCTGCTCCCTCAGCCTTAGGCGGCCTCATTTTCCTAGTCCATCTAAGTGGCGACCCGCACTGCCTTACCCCTAGCAGGCCGCGTTTTCTGCCCCTTGGGCATAGCAGCCCCGCCTCCTCAGCTTTAGGCAGCAGCCCCATCCCCCTGATAAGTCGTAAACAGCAGTCCCACATTCTGGAACTGAGTTGGTGAATGAAGATCTATCTCTTTGTAACCTAGGAGGTCGTGGCCCTACCCTTTGAAACTGAGGCAGTCCTGCCTTGTGTGCTCCTTCCAACAGTTTTGCTGATCTCTGAGCTGCTCCAAGGATGGTCCTTTTCTTTTCTTGGAGGACAACATATGTAGCTCCTTTGGCCGGTTTTCTACCTGTAGAATTCCAAGAGGCTGACGGCGTTCTTTACTTCGTTCTTTCTCTGTCCCCTTCAGTCTGTGAGTTTTCTGCTCTGGTAGTTGCTTAGATCCATCATTCACAGGCCTAATCTCTTTAACAAAAGATTGTGTAGTGAAGTCCTTGGTGAACATTCTAGGATATGTGTCCTTAGTTTGTACAAAAGAATTTTCCAAATTTTCTAAGTTTTGTTTTCATTTTGCAAGGTTCATTTTTTTTTTTAAATTTTTTTACACTTTTTTTTTATTGTTGTAATTAAATGAAGTTTACATTTCAAGTTAGCCACCCATACAAAATTTTTATACATGCATTGTTATGAGACCCTTATTGCTCACCCCATTCTGTGACAGCACACTCCTCCTGTCCACCCCTGATTCCCCATGACCATTCAATCAGCTCCTAACTCTCTCTGCCTTCCCATCTCACCTCTGGACAGAAGCTGCCCCTTTGGTGTCTTGTATCTACTTGACTAAGAGGCACACTCTTCACGAGTATCACTTTATGTCCCACAGTCCAGTCCAATCCCTGTCTGAAGAGTTGGCCTCGGAAATTGTTTTAGTTCTGGGCTGATAGAGAGTCCAGGGGCCATGCCTTCCGGGGTGCCTCCAGTCTCAGTCAGACCATTAAGTCTGGTCTTCTTACTAGAATTTGAGTTCTGCACCCCATCCTACTGCTCCTTCGGGGACCCTGTGTTGTGTTCCCTGTCAGGACGTTCATTGGTGGTAGCCAGGCACTCTAGTTCTTCTGATCTCAGGCTGATGAAGTCTCTGGTTTATGTGGCCCATTCTGTCTCTTGGGCTGATACTTTCCTTGTGTCTTTGGTGTTCTTTGTTCTCCTTTACTGCAAGTGGTTGGGACCAATTGATGCATCTTAGATGGCCGCTTGCAAGCTTTTAAGACCCGATACGCCTCAGCAAGGTTCATTTTTAAATCCGTCTCTTTTCTTTTACGTTTTACTGTAAGTGGCAAGGAAAGACCCCACTACCCCTGTAAGATCTTGCTTATTAGAAATCTCCTCAGCCAAATACAGGCCATCTGCCACTTATGATGAGGTTCTGTTCCAGTGATGTCAGTTGTGACCAAAATTGAGTACCTCTTAAGTTTTCGTTATTATTGCCTTTTATTATCAGTATCTTTATAAATCCACTCTGTAAACATCTGCAAGTGAACGTTCGAGATTGATAACATCAGCAAATTACGAACTGCAACGTTGTATATAGTATATATTACTAACAATAAGATGTACCAAAACAAAACAAAAAACCACAGACCATTGTAAGTGCAGTTCATTGTAACTCGAGTATGTCTTAAGTCAGAGACTACCTATATCCAAGTTCATCACTTACAAGTTCTACCTTTCACCAAACATTTGAACATAATTCAGTAAAGTTCTTTGCCAATGCATGAAAGCATCACCTTTCCTCCATTGTCCAATCACATGTCCATCATTTCCTGTTAAAGTCTTACCAGAAGCACATTTAACATCTACATGTCTAGCAACAATCTGTTGCTGGTGCCATATGTAGCCTCTAAAATGATAGAGACTTTCTCTGTGGCTCTCCTCACCTCCTTCTGAGCCCTCACCAGAATTGCCTTTGATGTCCATAATTCTACCAGCAGTCTCTTCAGGGCAATCCAGGCTTTTACTGTTAGGCACCTTGAAACTCTCCAGCCTCTATCCATTACCCAATTCCAAAACCACTTCCACATTTTTAGGTATTTATTAGAGCAGCAACCCCACTCTCGGTACCAAATGTCTTAGGCTGGCTTCTCTAGAGGAGCAAAACCAATGAAGCATATATATAACTATATATAGAGAGATTTATTTCAAGGAAGTGACTCACACAATTGTGGAGGCTGGCAAGTTCCAAATCTGTGGGTCTGGCATCAGGCTGGAGGCTTCTCCTGACTCACGTGGTTGCAGGGGCTGAGGAGCTCAAAATCTGCAGGTCTGGCAGCAGGCTGAAGGCTTCTCTAAGAACTGGAGGGCAGACCACAAGAAAAGTGCAGGATCCAGAGAGAGAGCAAGCTTTGCCAGAACATCCATATATATTGGATGCAGACCTACCCCTAAGGAAACTCACCTTTCAACTGATTGACTACTCACTTCAGATCACAAAATGGAGGATGGTTACATAATATCTGCCAAACCACTGAGAATCATGGCTTAGCCAAGTTGAAACATAACCTGAACTATCACAATGCTATTTACAGTGGTTTCAGAATTTCAGTGCCTCTGCAACAATGGGCTCAAACATAGCAACAATTGTGACGATGGTGCAGGACTGGGCAGTGTTTCATTTTGTTGTACGTAGGGTCACTATGAGTTGGAATCGACTTGAAGGAACCTAACAACAACAACAGGAGTAAATACAATAAAAGATATGTAATAAGAAGTATTAAG